TGTGGCCAAGCCTCCTTGCAGGGTCAGCACAAGCAGACAGGCAGCAAAAACTAACGTATGGTAGCAGATTGGAAAAGGTAGCCCAGTAGAAGTGAATGCTTGTCTGGGCACAGACCAAGGGCTCTGAATTCAGGCAATTGCTGAGGCAAGCTGGTGCTCTGCTTATCAATGCTCCAGTAGTAGCCAGAAGTGCTATGGCAAAAAACGCGGTGCTGGCCCTACAGCTTCTCTTCCACGTTTTGCACCATTACTTTCCTGTGAGATTTCTGGAAGTGCTGTGTATCTTGTGTTTCTACTGAAATTCCTGTTTACTTTAAAGGGGTCGTTGTGACACCTCAAATCCCTTTAAGTTTGATGGCTTTGGGCTCCTGAGAGAAGAGACATCATATGTAGTTTAGGTACAAAGGGGAAGAGAAAGGGGAAGGGGAAGGGGAAAAAGGAAAGAGGAAATGGAGACAAGGAAAAGAAAGGAACCCAGGTATAAATCATGAAGCATTTGCCAAGAATGTGATGGTATGTACCATGCCAACATGGTACATAAAAAAGTCATTAAATTCATGATCTTGAACTTAAAGCTTTAAATAAAATTAAATCTTCTGATTTAAACCAGCCACAAATTCAGGCTTAAGAATGGGATCCTTTTAAAGTCATTTTATTCTAGCTTGGTTTATCAGTATACTCACCAGGAGGAAACGTGCCCTCTGCAAATTATACACGTCATGAAATCTCAAGCAGTCCTGCCAAGACCTAGTGATAAGTTGCTATAACAGCAGCTTGGGGTTTGAGAAATGCACTTTCCTTCGCGCTCATGGCTACAGGTGATCTAGTGGTAATGACATCATTAACACATTTCACCTTTTTAAGCTCTCCCACTGGTGTTATACTGGTTTATGGAGGAATCATTTCATTTTGGTGTTTCAAGTCCCTTGTGTTCTTAGTGGTATTCTCAAGAAAATAAGCAGAAAAGTGGAAGGAGACCATCCTCTGGGATATGTGATTTGGGAGGAAACCATCTGATTCCATCAGCAGATTCTGTCTTGTATGAAAAAGAACTTGGGAATTTTTATAGCAGATCAGATAAGATTGTGATCACTCTAACTCAGTTTTGCCTTCAGGAATTGGCAATACCCGCTTTTTAATAAGCAGTTATTAGGTACTTGCCACATTTTCTAACAGATTCTCCAGATAGATATGTTTGCATTTGTTATGCAAATATAGGGATGTATGTTAAAAAAAAGGAATAGTGTCTCTATTCATTACTTGACTGAGTCCTTATGGACTCTTCACTCTAGATACGCAGGCAGAAGGATCTTTTGTTACTGTTGTTGCTATGTCTCTATGTCCTTCTCTGCGTACCCTTCTGGGTACCGATCCTTCAGAAAATACTACTAAATGAGTTGTTTACCTCTTCTTTTCAAAAGCTATCTTCCCTACACCTCTTAATTCTTTTTATCGTGTAAATACAAAAGAATCGAAACCCACTATCTTCTATTTAACAATTGTAACTTAGTAACATCCTACAACTGAGATTTTTGTTTACAAAAACATTTATCCTTAACAACTTGCTCCCTACAGCAACAATACGAAAACAAACCTATTAACTCCTGAAAGTTATTTAAAAGAAGGAAAAAAAAAAATACAAACCCGAAGTACTGGTAGTACAGCGTATAGCAGCAAACAGTACAGTATATGGGAGCATTTCTGAACCATATGGGGCCGGTTTCTATCTCCACTGACAGCAGTTGGACGTTTATCACTGAATTCAAAAGAATCAGGCCAAGACTCCCACACTGAAAAAGAGGCTTTCAGATGGGATTTGTGTTGAAAATCCAAACAAATCTAAGTATTTGACACCTTTATTATACTCTAAATGCTTGGATACCACAACAATACAAGACAGAACGGGGTTGTCTCAAGAAGAGAAAGGAGAAGTAATTGCTGTCTTCAACTACCTAATGGGAGGTTACAGAGAAGGTGGGGCCAGACTCTTCTGGAAGGTTAAACACAAAAAGACAGGAGGCAAGGGACGGGTTGCAACAAGGAAAATTCCAAATAGGTAGTAGGAAAATTTGTATCAGTCATGATAGTCAAAAACTGAAATGTGTTCTTCGGAGAGGCTGTGGAATCTCCATCCTTGAAGACATTCAAACCTTGCCTGTGTATGACCCTGAGCAACCTGATGTGACCTAGAGTTTGGCCCTGCTCTGAGTGGAGGGTTCGGACCAGCTGTTCCCAGGGAAGGGAAGGGAAGGGAAGGGAAGGGAAGGGAAGGGAAGGGAAGGGAAGGGAAGGGAAGGGAAGGGAATCTGTTCAATTTTCCATGTTCAGTCCTTAGACAGTACATTCCTAGACTGTAAAGAGACAGTGACAGATCATTCTGTGATTTATTTGTTCAGAATACGATTTGCATCTGCTAGGAAAGTATCTGGCCAGTATACAGCTGTAACTTTTTTTTTTTAATGTTAATACTCAGTCTAACTGTAAACTCATGTTACAGTTGGAAGCCCTTGTTGGAAGTCAAGCAAGCACAGGTTAGAAAGACAGTACAATGGATGTTTGAAAAGCTTTCCTTCTCCTTCAAGACTCAGGTGACTTGTACCTTGTTTGAAAACAGTACCACAGCAGTTAAAAAAAAATTGCTAATAAAATGGGGTTGAAAATAGTTTGTTGTAACTAGTAAAATTAAATGTACCCTGTGATTGTCCACACCAATTGTCACTGCTTAGGCTTTGTCTTTTACTGTTTTTTCATTGTACTAGGAAAGTGGAAGAAGCATGATCAAGTCCACATCAAGGGAATGAAAACAAGGATTCTACTTACGGAAAGATTGTGGTCCTTAAGTATGAATTTAGAAGATACTAAGTCTGTTCAGGCCAAATCTTCAAATGGCATAAACTTGTGTAGGCCTAGCTGAATCCAAATGCCATTATACCAATTTGTGCCTGTTGAGGATCTGGATTTACTGCACTGAAATATTAGCAAGTACGATTCCCGGTGTTCTTGGTACAGAAGCTGACCGGGGCCCAAGAATGCACAGGTTGTGGGTGCACCAACAAGCTACTTACTGTAGGACATGGACTTATGGCACGTCCATTACTGTGGTGATTTTGCCCCCATACTGCTCTTACTCTCCGTTACCTCATGGCAAATACAAGATGTTCTGCACTTCCATCACCAAGCAAGCTACTTCCTTTGTGGCTAAAGTAGGGGCAGATGCCCCAGACTAGCTCCTTGCAAGTTGATCCTTAAACTACTTACTGGCCATTTGGTCATTAATCTATACCTTATTTTTCAGGTTCAGTGTGGGGAAAGACAATGTCAGAAATACCTGTACAGACTAGAAAATAAAACAACTCCTTGGTCTCGAGCTTACCAAAATGACCAAACATATTTCACAGATTCCATGTCTTGCTCATGTCACACCAAATGCCATCATACCACCTGCCAAGTTTCATTGTTCATTTTACGCACGCTTTATAGCTCTGTATCTTCCCTGGGATTTTTAATTTTACTAACTTAGCGCAAGTATCAGCTACAAACAAGAACATTAATTGTCCTATGCAATGATGGACCGCTTTAAGGATAAGCCTTTTGTAATGCAAATAAGAACAGCAGTCTTAAGTAAGATCTTTGTTTACTACAAATTTTTCATTTTCTCTGCTGTAGCAAGTGTAACTCCGTCATTTACTTCTCCACCCATCTCCCACACTGAGGCCAGTCCCTTAGCAGAAGCATGCTAGCCGTGTTCCTGATCCCTCTCAATTCTCTGCATACAGTGGATATTCCAGAAGTCTTCACAAAACACGGGAGTCTTTCCATTAACTGTGGTACGTTCAGTCCCCTGGGATGATCCTGACATCACAAGAGACATCTGAAGGATGAAAGAATAGGAAAATTGTTCTTACTACAATTACTTTTTAACCAGAAATGGAAATGTCCTGCCTAGCTGACTTTTCATAGAGCGTCACCTATAGTTTGAGAGTTTAAGTGCCCAGGATATGGGACCGTGTTTTTGTATTTCATGAACATTGCAAAGTTAAAGATTTTATTTAAAAGAACTTCATTTAAGAGAAAAATAGTAAATGGCACATCATGTAATTGCTATTTATTTTCATAAACATGAGGTATTTCAAAGTGCTATGAGACGCAGCACTAAATGTACATCGTTGGAAGAAATTAAACACAGAACTTAGCAGTTACCCAGTTCTATGCACCAAACATTAACAAATACATTAACTGGAAGAAACAGGCTAGGAAAAGGCATATATAGTAAATTTCTTTACAAAAGTTTCTTAGTTCAAAAAAGTGATAAAGTAATATCTACTCAAAACTTTCACAACTCATTTTCATACGAAAATATAAGTATCAAATTTAGTTATGTATCAGCATCATACTAAAGTATACAGGCAATGTAAGAATTAGTACAGTACATAACAGAGATTAACAATATATTTGTATACAAAAACATGCTCCTCAAACATTGAGGTATTACAGTACTTAGGTATGAACTTCCAGTCTAATACTGGTAGCAAAAGCCACCTCTCATAACCCAAGACATGTACAAAAGGCAAGTGTGTAGATGGTATTTACAGAAAATTCCCACAGGGGTACAAAATGCCAACCCCTAAAGTAACATCTGTTAGAACATAAGCACCATAAAACTTAGGAATGAACGTTTTAAAACTCAACTAGATGTCATCAGCAGCTCCAAATGCTCACAACAATTAAAAAAAAAAAAAATCCCCACCATCTACAGTTCTTAAGAAGAAAAACAAAGGCAGTCCATTGTTGTTTGGTAGTCTTGCAAAAAAACTCCTTGCAAGAACATCCATTTGCTCCGTACCCGGATAATATAGTTTGTCGATTACTTCAGGGACTGGATTGAAAGTAAAACCAACATTCTTAACGTCAAAAAACACAATTTTTTTTAAAGAATCAAAAATGTGCAAAGTGGCAATGACTGTCCTGGTCAGCCAAAACAAACCAAAACAAAAAAAAGTTTAGCAAGTCCGCTTGTATTCTATTTTCTTTAGCAATTGTTGTTGTCTGGCTTGCAATTTTTCCTTTTCTAGCAACAATTTCTGCTCCTCTGCCTGAAGGGAATGAACATATTCAGTGGCTTTTTTCAAGATCACAACTTTTGCAGCTTTCTCATTTTTAACCAGTTCTGGAACATGGTCCCTTAATGTGAGGAAACTTGACCGTAGATCATTACGCCGTTGACGCTCTAGGATATTATGGTTGCGTCGACGTTCACTATCCTCTGAATCAGAGTTTCGAGGACTTGAACTCTTAGACTTTGGTTGGATCGTGGGTTTTACTGGACGGGGCACCTCGGTTTTTAACTTCTTCTGCGGTGGAGCATCTTCACTCTCCATGTATGGAGAAGGAGCGGCATAATTATGCTGCTGGTGAATTGGTGCACAACGCTTTAAAATCAGTTCATTCTGCTGTGTCCTGACTGATGGAAAAGTGGTATTTTTAGGACGCACTGTAATAGTAAGGGTGGTAACAGCCTTGTTGGAGGAGGAGCGTCTTTTCTCCACTGTCACAACATCAATTTCTTCTTCTTCATCCTCTTCCTCCTCATCTTCATCATCTTTTGGTAATAGAAAATGGAAAATAAAACAGACGTTATTCTCACAGAAAATACTTCGAACAAGTGTCAACCCAGATGTATTTATTGACAAAATATGTACAGTAAAAGCAGCAATGAAATAACTGATGGCAAAAACAGGGTGTGCCCACCATCTGTAGTCAGATATAGATCTGGAAAAGTATGTAATACACATAAAATGACTGAAGAACCGCGATTTTGGAAAGTTTAATAAGTTTAACGAGGTTTTTTTTTAAAACACTTCTAATTTTCAACCAAAGCGGGGCTACTACACACATAATCGCAGCGGCAGGAAAGAGTTTTTAGACAGAATGTATGTATTTTGCATGGAATCGTAGAGCTGCGGTACAAAAGGCATGCACAGTGCCACAGCACAGCCCCTGCTTGGTAGAAAAGCAGCCGAATGTATGTATTGCATGGAATCGTAGAGCTGCGGTACAAAAGGCACGCACAGTGCCACAGCACAGCCCCTGCTTGGTGGAGAAGCAGCCGGAATACGAAACAATCGCTGGGTTTGTTCTGAGGCAGAAGGTGAAGCTGCTCCAGCCGGGGACCCTTTAAGCCGGCGCTTGGTGCACTGCCAAGAAGACAGCTGTTGGAAGTGCTTCCTCACCCAAAGCTGTCAAACCAGACATTAAAGGGACAGCAGGCTTTGAAACCCGGGACGGATCACCAAGTTTATGGCGGTGGTCGTACGGACCAGCTCATCTACACACGCGAAACCACGTTTCAGCCCAAGTGGACTTCTCTGTAGGCACGGACAAGAGATGTTTCTGGGCATTTTAGGTTCTGTCAGCGCAAGCGCAAGCGCTGCTCTGAGGGGTCTCTAGCCTGCTCCAGCCTTCCCAAATCACACCTAACGGCACACACGGCCATCCCTCCCCCCGAACCCCGTCCCCAGCGTGACAGC